ATTTAGACCTGGTGTAACAAAAGAGCAAAGTGACAGGTAATATGGTATGGGAGTAGGGGTGGACAAAGTTACAAGAGATGGTACCACATGCCTTGTATATTTGCTATTTAATTTCTTTGTAGAAAACATTAAAAAATGTTACTCTAAATTCCCCAGATTTCAAAACAATTGAGGTCTTGGCTCAAGAAATGCAGACGTTCTCTGCACAGCTCAAAGACTCCACTGGCAAGTGCTGCAAGAAGGCAGGTGATGTTTTTGCCATGTCTATAGGTTGAAGCTGTTATACTGGGTGCATGTGAATCAAACTCAGACTCTGCCTTTTCATCAGATCCTCTGATAGAAGAAAGGCAGCAGGGCAGGCATTGGCTTTGAATGTACTTCATCTTTTCTGCAGTAAAGACTGTGTAGCTGCCTAGTACTTCTTTCAAAGTCAGCAGTGCTGGTTTGAAAGAAAATATATTTCTCAGGACACTTGGCTGTCTGCTTACTCAGTCCATTTCTGTCTGCCCACCTGACTAACCGTGTGTACCAGGGTTCTCACCATGATATCTTGAGTACCAGATCTAAAGAAGAAAGTTAAAACCTTTCTTTCTTCTGCTGCCTCTCACCACCTCCAGAATATATACTGAAGCTTTCTTGGAGCAAACATTAAAAAAGTATCAAACCCTCATCAAAAGATGTTAAACAATAGGGGGATGGAAAAAGGAATAGAATTAATTTCTCGTAAATTGTTTATTTATGAGCTCCTGATAATTCTCTGAAGAACAAAAAAGGAAAGACAGGCCAAGGAATTATTTAAAAGGCATCTCTTAAGTTTCTGAATGTTCCTCTCTTTAAATGGAACAATCCAGGATTTTGATTCATAATACACAAAGCCCTGGAAGTAATAGATTTGAGTTCTATAACTTGAGTTAATTTCCAATTAATATAACAAGTAAAATGTTGGACATGCTTAATTCAAGAGCAAAGAAGCATTTAACATCAATATGTGTTTTTCATCTATCATAACTGACAGCCAGCTATACCACCCAGACACCTTAAATACCCTTGTCTTGTGAAGCATAACACTGACATCTTACTTAGATCAGAAAATAAATGATTTTACTTGTCATTATAAAATTTTAAATCACCACCAGACAGTGGAGCTAAAGAGCCACACGCAGCACAGAAATGAACGTAAGGTTTCTTTTCTATATATTTGTGTGGAGTATGTGAATTTACAAAAAAGTCAAGCAGGTATAATTCATTTCTATATGCAAGCGTTAAGTCATAACACATCTGATTGAATGCAAAGTAAGAAGAAAGTAAGTTTTGGGCTAAATTGAGTCCTGTCACAAGGGAAATAATTTTGGTTAATTCAGAAGTGAATTTTGTCCATCAAAAGAAACACAGTACCTCTTCTTTCTGGTTCCTTTGGAAAAGAAACAGAAAATGCAGCTATAAAGTCTTCCCCGTCTGATTTATTTCATGTTGCATGCAAATGACTTAAGGCCAACTCCAGTGAAATTGTGGGAGGCTTGGTCCTGCAGTGCTTATTGAAATGGGGAGAGGCAGAGTGGGGCAGGTTCACACAGGACAGAGGAGAAGCAGCTGTCTCTACCATCACATTTCTGAAAGGTTGAACAATTTCACAGAACAGCTCCAGACTGTTATTTTAAAGGAAGTGACAGAGGGCTGCTGAGAAGAAATTGCACATGGACATGCTGTGCTGAGATGCAGCAAAAAGCCTATAATTTAAGGTCCACTCTTACTGTTCTGAAAGCCTTTTCTGGCATGAGGAATGCAAAGTTTTTTGGCTTATTAGTGGTAAAATGTAAGTTTGGAAAGTTTTTTTCTATCCCAAAAGATGGTGAGCTCCTTTAGGAACACTTGAGGATCTTCCTGCTCTGATCTGCAGCTTTAATACTATCATGCTTTTTACACAGATCTCATCTATCAGTTCATCAAAACAGACAACCTGTCTTGCTGCTAAACTGCAGTCTTTTTCCACCATGGGAATTCAGATATGATGAGGGTGAGTTTGGGATGCACAGAGATATCAACACAAAGCCTGGATCAGCTGTGCTTTATTAGAACTGATATCCTCTTCGTAGGGATTCAGCCACTATAGAGACAGTCACAAGCATGTGATTCACTGCCCTGCAGCTATTGTTGAATTGTAGCACATTCATTTTAAAAATCAATTGGTATTTAGTTCATGTTTGCAATAGTGAAATAGGATCGAGTCAGATGTTAAAACCCAGAGACATTGTACATTTGGTGATTGAAAATGAAGAGATAATTGTCTTCACTTCGACTTCCTTATGTTGATATTCATATAAGCAAAGCAATAAAAACGGTTGCTTCAGTCCCTCATTTCATTCACTAGAGAAAATAGAAGCTTATTTCCTTTTCTTAATTGATAGGCACTGTAGTCTGGAACAATATCTTGAGGAATAGTTATTAACTTCACCTCTGAGCTAAATCCTGTGGCTCCTGAGCTTGTTTAAGCAGAGATCACTGAGAAGAATGCACCCTGAAATTATTTTCAAAATGACTGCTACATACAGAAATCCCTTCCATCCTCTGCTCCATAATTTCTGTCTGTTACTGGAGAATATTCTTGGTATTACTACATAGCTTTTGGGGCTGTGCCTCCTTCTATTCATCCTGAAAGAAATTTGCAACGTTTTTGTGAATGAGGGTTAGCTGGAAATGCTGTGGTATTGGACAACCTCAGTGGCATAAATCTTTGCTTAACTATAGGCAGGCAGTGTACAGATAGCAGCATGCAGGCTTGCCTTTCACTTCAGTAGGTTTCAAATCTAGTTGAGGAGGGATAAGGGGTGGTGCTCAAATCTGAGCATCCATGTTGTGCTTGGCTTCTCTCTGTGACACCAAAATAGCAAGGGTGACTACAAGTCTTACAGTATTGCACTCAAAGCACATTCTTCCTACAGGAGCAGGATAAATATGGGAACCATGTAAGCTTAGTAGTATAATAAATTGATCAGACTTTGCATTCACAGTTCCCTTCTGCCTAACTCGGTCTAAGCTATACACTTTTCCTGGGGGCTCTCCACAGCTCAGAGATAAAGTGATTTTCCTCATTGTCCTCTCAGTTAAGTTGGTTAGTGGCAACGCTGAAATCCTTGGTGGGCAAGAATTTGTTTCAGAATTTATTTAATATTCAAAAAAGGTATATTAATTTCAATGAACATTGTGAGGATGAACATGTAGGACATTAAATTTAAAATGATACTGCTGTGTCTAAAATCACTAAGAGTTTTTCCTATTGTATCCAGTGAAGCACCTTGAAATTTTGTAGCATGACTATGCAAGAACTTGAATAGTAAATGCACTCTGCCATGCTCCTTACGTCTAATCTAGGCCTGCTCTGTTTCAGTTTTCCACTCCTGTTTTTACAGCTTTCCTCTGGTTTGTTTCCAATAGTTTACACTCTGCCAGGAGTATCAAGAGCTTGTGGATATCTCCATATTGTGTCAGGATAGGAATGGAACTCCAATGGCACAAAAGTATGAACTAGCTAGGGACAGAGCAGGGATGCAAGGTAACAGCCTCATGACGAAGCACTTCTGCATTTCTCAGGGTGACTAAGGAAGACAATGCATGTCCACTCCCTCAGTGTCCCTAACCAGGTCATCACTAAAGCTTTGCATTAATAAGCACTACATTTAACACTAACAACAAGAGTAGAAGAGATATCATCTGGATAATAGACTGGTTTTGAGCTCTTACGCTATAACTCCACAATTTTTTTGAAATTATCCTTCATGGACAGAAGAGTATGTGAAAGTGAGCTGAGACCAAAGCCCCAAGTAGGATAAAAGTTAATTTTCCTATCCTAGGGCTTGTCTACAAAAGCATGTTGCACAGGTTTAATTCAGGTTATATTTTTAATTGATGTAGTGAAAAGTAATACAAATCCTTTATGGATCCAGTTAATTCAATAATTGAACTGAGGCAAATCCATATAAATCAGTTATAAATCAAACCTATTCATATGGGATATAGAACAATTTAACTAAATCCATACTCATGCCTAGGTTGTAACCAAAGCAATGGGATGCTTCTGTGTCATCAAGGTTGAATAACCCATTATTCTCTCAAATTTTTACAATTAAGCTGGAAGATATTTTTGAAGCAAACCAGTGTTACTGAAATAATTTTTTAAATTTAGAGCTTCTGTTGTTTATGGTGTACTTATTGTAAACATGGATAAAGTAAGTATATAATTGAGTTTTTTCACTAAGACATCTCTAAAATTGCAGAAGTTTATTTGCAAACACAAATCCTTACAAGTTTCATGGTATGGACAATGTTTTATCCTTGTTACCAAGAGGATAGTGAGATACAGAAAAATTTCTGTCAAATATTTCCAAAAGTACTTTTTCCTCAAGTCCAGAAACAGGTGTGCCATAGCAGGAGGCAGGCTGAGAGCACAGAACCTTACATGCCCCGAAATCTTTAGGAGAAACATCAAGAGACCTGCATGGCAGCAGCAGCAGGAGGCACTGCTATGACACGGAAAGGAACTGTGCTGCCAAGTGAATTAAGAGGGATAAGAGATTTCTTTTGACCCTGCTCCTCAAGTATGAATTTCTGAGCTGTTGCCTGTAAATTACAAAGCTTTGATTTTCCAGTGCACAATTTAATACACGCTTTGACCTTTCAACATGCCATATGAAACTTTGATCCTTACCAGCCGACTGTCAGGGTGAACTTTGCATAAGATGAAAACAATACATTTCAAAATCGTATTCCTTCTCCCTTTTAGAAAACCCATAAAATATTTCTGAGGTGGAGAAAACTCATCTTTATACACTGACTCAGGGTAAATGCTACAGAAGTGCTACATTTAAATGGGTATGGTCAGAAGCCTTGATTATCAAGACCTTTATGCAAGGCTGATAAGAAGCACAGATTGTCTAGGAAGAAGGTAAACGCCTAAGAAGAATATCAATCAAGAAAGAGTATTCTTACTTCAGTCTTACCTTGGAAAGGATGGGGAAATCATTAACAGGGCAGTCCATAGCTCAAAATGTCTTTGGAACTAGGAGGTAGTTGAATAATTTCATGCATAATTATCGGGTGAGTTCAAAAGGTCTAGTTCAGTCCAATTTAAGAAGAGCTGAGAGATATCTGAACTGTCCACCTGAGAACAATGAAAATTTCATAAACTCAAAATCCTGTGATATTTCTAGTCTTGCTAATCCTATAAAAGTAAAAAAACCAAAACCAAAACCAAAACAAAAAAACCCCAATACCCCCATGATGAAAAAAACTAAACCAAAAGCATAAGTAGAAAGAAAAACAGTACACAAAAAAGGTGAAAATAAATGTTTGCAGCAGAAAGTACTCTTTATTTTGTTTTCATTGAGCTTTTTCTCTCTGGAATCCCTATAAAATCAAGTTGCAAAGTTTTAAAGACTAGATAATGTATTACGCAATTTCTCCTATGCATGGTAACCCTATATAATTTTATATCATACATTGTAACCTATTTTCATCAATTTAAAACACAAAGAAATTTGCAAATTTGCTCTCAGTGAAAAAACTGTTCATGTTTAGCATGGATGCATACTACTTCCTTTTTTTTCTTTTTTTTAATGGAAGGATATTGTGGAAACCTCCCTCCCCCAGGAGGAAAAAAAATTATATTTCCTAGTCTATGTGTGAGCTGCAACATTTCCCAGAGTTGTTGTGCTGCTGGTATTTAGCTCATTGTTTTACAGTGCACAGTGAAAACCTGCAATATCACTTCACAGTCTGCTCTAAACATTTTTTCAGATCTACAAGCCTTGGATGTCAGTTTAAAGGCAGGCTTTGTCAGTTTTAAAAGTCAGTTTTTTCTAATCTGGAAAGTGACTCTAGAGGCAGCATCCCTGGTACCGCATCCCTCCTTCATCAGTGGTTTCTCTCAGAGTCATTCTGTTCCCAAGCCAAAAGATTTCCTGGCTTTCTTCTGACTGCTAGTAGGCATATATTCCCCATATTCACAGAAAATCCACCAGCATAAATCTCTCTGACTTTCCTCCCTTGTCATCATGTGATCAATGGGACTGGAAAAATGTGCACAGCTGAGTGCAGTGGCAGGACTCCACAGCCCAGCAGGAGATCTCAGTTGTGCTCGTGCTCAGCGCAGACCCCGAAGGAGGGGACACTGCTCCCCTCTGACTCTAGGCAGCCTGGGGTGCACCTTCTGCCATTTGAGCCTGCTTGGCATGTACAAACACCCAAGCCATGCTAATTCCTGTACAAAGGAACTCCCAGGGAAGGGTGTTTTAGCTTTAAAACTGGCTATACAGATTCCACATCAGTCAGGATTGGCTTTTTTCCTTTTCAAGCCTATTTTGCTGCCAGTTAATGCCAGCACTGCTACCTGACCTCCTCAGCTGCTGGCATAAATTGCTGAAACACACCCCTAAATTTCCTCTACAGGGAGCAGATTTGTTGAATTAGAAGGTGGAGTCTTTAGATAGCTACTTTTCTGGATAACATGTGGAAGCCAGGAAAAACAAAGAGTGCATCAACTTGATCTGTGCTCAGTGAGGAACCAAAATGTCACAGGAGCCAGCCCTGGCTGCTGCACTGTGGTGGTTGGGAGGACAGCAGGACTGATTCATAATAAGGGGAGACAGACATGGAAAGTGAGCAGAGCCATGATTACAGAAGAGAAATGAAGAGTTGCCTGACAGTGTCACACTGGGAAAGAAAAAGGCAGGGAGGATTAAGGATGGTATCAGAAGATACATCTCACTCCAGCATGGCCCTGCTCGCAAGCCAAGGGAGAGGGGGTGTGTTGAAAAAGTCCTGTCTGGGAAAGTGATGAGGGCCTGTGAATCACTGATGATGATTCCTGCTTTTATTTTGATTGCATTAATGGTCTGTGGTGTTTCACAACCTGTTTTCAGTAAGGCATTTCCTTGGTAACAGGAATATAGTTTCAAATGCTCTTCATGCAAGATGTGGAAGTAGTACTAGAAACAGAAGTCTGATATGTAAGCCTAGGATAGGGCCAGGTTGAATAAAAGGTGAGGTAATTTCCCCTAACTCCTCTGTATTACTATTAAAAGGCCACTAATTAGAAATAGAACATAATGCTCCTAGACTTTAGGCAGATTCACCACAGCTGCAGTGATGTTATTTGGGAATGAGAGGGAGAAAGGATGAGATTATAAATGAGAGGGATTGTAGCACAGACTTTCAGCACCACCAATTAAACTGTGCCTCAAGGACTATCTTCACATTTTCAGTCATTTGGAGACCTCACCATAATTTATAGGAATAAATCACATGGCAAATCATGTGATAATTCCCTTGCAACCTTAAATAATTGAGACTCATTGGGGTCAGCTAAAGTCAGCTGAAGTAATTTTCACTTGGTTTCTAAACATGCATTAAAAATTAGCTTTGATTCAGCTGGAGAAGGCAAAGGAAAAAACCACGAAGCAAAACAAACAAAAACAACATGCATATGTTCTCTCTGAGGTCTGTATTTGCCTGATCCAGTGTAGCCTGACTTTCAGTGCATTCTGCAGGTCCTCACTCAATGATATTTGATAGTTTTCCCAACTTAATAATTATAATCTTGTCTTAAAAGATGTAATTTTTTTTTCGGAAACAGAACAGGATATGATATATATATATTTCCATTTCCAGCAAATCTGAAAACATGATAAATGAGCACCTGACATGTTAGATGGGTGACATTTGAGATGCCCATGTTCAAGAATTGGAAGAACTTGGAATATTTGATCTGTGACTTGTTTATAAGAGATGTTAGCTAAGCAGATTTTATGCAGATGTTCAGACTTTCAGACTAGTTTCCTATTAAACAACAGTTTGGAACAAATTTCGAAAACTTTATACATTACTTCATGTAGTTGACTTCGCAGAGATTCTCCATCTTTTCTATTAGTACTATCCCCCTACCTCATTAGTGCACTGAACCTATCTGTACTTAAACAGCTTCCTAGTGTGGATCACTATAGGCTGCTGTCTTCTAATTGCTGAATCAAGTATGCATAAATAATTTACTGAAATTGCATTGTTGCACTTAGACAATTTTTGAAATTCCCTCATGTAACTTCATTAAACTTCAAATCTGGAACATTAATTTGAGGGAAGAAAAATCACTACTTCTGTATTATTAGATCAGTCAGGTGATAAACATGTTCTCAAAAAAGTCACCTGATGAGTTTCAGTCATCACATTCAAAGTGTAAATGGAATAGTTGTCTATGTATTAGAAAGCACATGCCATGTTTTGTTAACATAATCAGAAAAATGGAGCTGCCACAAACTCTTTCCCCATCTGCCAGTCATTGCATTAAATGTTTCTGCAATTTTATTAGAATTCTCTGTCTCTGCAGATCCTGCTCAACTGTGAAATTGGAATTGCAAACAGAAATATTACATTTCTACATACAGTAGTGAATAAAAAGGTCCAATTTTCACATGTAGAGAGACAGGGGAAATGTTTTCTTAAGATAAAAAACAGCAGAGAGAATATCCTCTCTTCCCCCAAGTATGAGGCAGAAAGTAAAAGTGTCTGTTTCCTTTATGATATTTTTCTATGACAGCAGGTAGAAACTGAGAGATGCAGGAGCAGCTTTCTGTCAGTAGCTTTAACACAGAAAGGGCAAAAGACTGCCCATCCTTCTGATCAGTGGAGATGGACACCAGTTGAAGGTTAATAAGCCTGAGTTGCTCTGATTGCTGCAGATCAGACTGCCAGAATAGGTGAGTAAAGGCTGGAGAAAGAGTGTGCAAACCCTGCTGCCTAAATCCTTGCTTGTAGCCCCATTCTTAATCTACACTTGTTGCAATAATGCTAGAGGTGTTTGGAAGGGTTTATCTAATTCTGATAACATCACCTGTATTGATATTCCTGAAGCATTATCCAAAGCTGGTAAAACACAGTGGTCAAAAAGAGTTTGGTGGGTCTGATGATTGAAGCATTTTGTCTACAGGAAAAGTGTTTTCACATGACTCTTAATAAAAAGTCTCAATATAAGGTGTTTCTCCACATCCTCACTTTCTCTTCTCTTCTCTCATTTTCCTAGTCTCATGGTATTTCTTATATTCTTTTAAAAGGTTTTTTCCAAGAGTCAAATGCAAACATTTTTGCATTTTCAGTTTTCCTGCAAAGCACATTTGCATCTCTTCTGGAAAATGAGAAATTAAAATGGAAAGATGGACATGAGAAGACTTTGCTTGTTCAGCCCCTTGTGCAAGCATCCTGCCTTCACCATTCAGAAGAGGTAAAAAGAATGACCTCTGGGTTATCTGGGAAAAAATAGCAGTGCCTCTGTAGAGCTGCTTCTTTTTCCCCTGTTGACTGCAATGGTCTCAGTCATGAAGTTTAATCTGTCCTGCATCAGCAATACTTGATTTTTCAGCTCTTTACATTGATTGACAATTACCTGCAAACAAAAGGCAAAAGCTATACACACTTAGTCCAGTGTTCCTAAAGGACTACTACTATCTCCTTTCACAAGAGTTAATATCCTTGTTTTTTTCTTTTAAGTTAATAGAATGTCCAAGAGCTGTTCAAAGATTTCTGTCTTTTTCCACAATTTTTTCTTCAGCAGTCTCCACCTTGGATCAAAGTCTTGGTCTACTTTTCTTTCTCATCATAACTGAACTCAGGTATTAGCCATGGCTTCTTGGGATTTCTATCTAGTCTAGCCTACCATAATGATCCATGGAAAATGGCACTCGGAGGAACAGCTTTGTCACACTACCTGACTGAGGACACAGAATCTGCAGCTGCCTTCACTCTCTGATGCCATTATGAGTACTTCATAAATACTGCAAATCAGCCTCCTGCATTCATCTTTCTCTCCCTAATAACATTTAACCTTATATATTTTTAAAGAAATTTAGCTACAGCTGTGTCCTCTTCTTGCATGGGGCACAGCCCACAGGGTGCCTACTGCTGGCATGCAGAGTTCTTACTCACGACAGGAGTTAAAGGCAGATTCCCTCCCTCCCTGGTCTGTGGGCATCAGCATCTTTCCCTTTGCTGCAGCCTGGGCTGACATGATACCTCCAGAACAAACCTGTTACAGAGCAGTGTCACAGCTGGTTACAGGACTCCCCTAGGCAACATCCACCAGTCCCCACCCTAAGTACTCTTTTCTGAAGCTGC